GATGGAACTTTGTGATACCACTAAGACCTCTGCTAACGAAGCAGGGGAAGTACCTGTGTGCAAACAGCAGTAAAACTTAGCACTTACTCATGAGGTTCACTTTGTGCCATATACATACCGAGAAATTAGGCTTTGTAAATGAGTAAGGTAATTGCTAGTAAGTGCTAATCACACTTAGCAGCAGTAACTTACCCAAGACTGCACAGAAGGTGAATCTGGGTTTTCCACCAATTCCTCTTTGGTCTGACTTTTAGAGAACAACAGGTATAACTGTTTTCCATTGATAATATACAGCCAAAAGGCAAAAATCTGTTGCAAGTCTCGAATCTAGTAAACAAACATTTCCATCTCGGTCCTTTAGCTGAAAAAGTAATTTGTATGATATATGAAAATGTGTTGTCTGTTTTTCATGCAAAAGATGTTTTTTTTTTTTTTTTTTAATGTTGCTATAAACACAGTCAAAACCACCCTTTGAAATAGTTCTCCTTCAAAAATATCCTTGAGGAAAGGTTAGAAGTTTGTGGTTTATTTTTCCCATTGCTTCAAAATGACCTTCTTACATCTGCAGGAAAGACTCTCTGGGGGCTGTTGAGCCATGAAAGCATATTCATTTAGGGCATTGGGTGCCACAGTGATTTTAATAGAGTGTTGGATGCAGTGCTGGAAAAAGAAAAAAGAGGGAGTTTGTGTTTTGTTGTTTTGCTTTTTGCAACCTGGCATGAAGAATGAGGTCAGGAGATGCGTGCTTGGGAAAGACCCAAAGAGAGAGCTGGAAACATGCCAGCCACACTGAGTCATAACACACATGCTTATAAGTATCTTTGTACCTTACAAAGTCCTGACTTTTCAAATAAAACCATCACTGCTGTAAAAGTATTTACATAAAAATTAAAGCAAATAACATGGAGTGCTGCATGCATTCTCCCTTGTTCCAGCTTTGTTTTATCCTGTGAACTATGACTCCTGTTTGCTTAAGGCAAGGCTGGGCCAGGCTGAAGAATGCTGTATCTGCAATGAATGAAGGGAGAGTCATGCTGCCGCTGCTGCCCAAAGAGCTCAGCAGCTCTCATGATTTCAGGCTGACATTTCACCTGCCCAGGAGGTGGTGTTAAGTCTGCCCCCTCTCTTCTGCTTTTTAAAAATTAGGATTTGAGTATAATTTTGGAAATAGGAAGGCTGTGTGCAGGCCACATGTGCATACCAGACAGCTGGACTGCCTGGAACAAGCACCTAAGCTGTAGGTGAATGGTGAAAGGTACAGGTGGTGCACATTTTGATTTCTTTGTTATATTCTTGTATGTATATTCTCTCTTATATACACATTATATATCAATGTATATTATATATGTCATTATTGTTATTTATCAATTAAACATGCATTATGGGTACTGAAGTTCAGACATAAATGTGCAATGTATGGTTCCCTGAAATGATATAACCAAGAAGGAGGCATGATATTTTTCAATTTAAAGGAAATCATGCAGTTGTATTTCTTAATTCTGCCTCATAGTTTCCTTGGTTGTTTGCATCTGTTAGTTTTATTCTGAGTTTATAAGATAATCTTCTTGTCATATTGGGAGGCAGAAATAATCTCAGCTAACCTGCGCAGTGAAGATTGTGGGCTTGTGGTGATGAACGTACAGTTTAAGATGTTATTTAGTCCTTTTTTGGGTCTGAGTCAATAATGGACAATCCATTAGTTCCCCATAGGTCGTTTCAATGGCTAATTACTTGCACAGTTGCAGAAATTGTTCTTTAATTCTGTCTTACATTTTTCTGAATCAAGTTCCAGCTGTTGGATGTTATTATACCCCTCTCTGCCAGCCTTGAGAGCCATCTATTAACAAATCTCTACTCCCTGTGGAAATATTTAAAAGCAGCAATTGAGTCAGTCCCTTTGAGCTTGGCTTGGGGGTGGGGGTGACCGGGTGGTGTTGAGAAGTTACATAGATTAAATTCCTCAAGGCTTTCACTTGACCATATTTCTAAGCGGTTGTGTGTGTGTTTTGCTAAAGTGAGATAACTCTTGCAGTTGGTGGTGGAGTGAGTGCAGTGCAGGCACACGAGCACACAACAGCTCTGCCTCCACTGGGGTGATGAGGCAGAGGCGATCTGACCCATGTAATTATGGTTAAATGTGTCGGGAGCGGGAGCTGCGGCTCAGCTGGGCTCTGAGTCAGCTGCTCTCCAGCATGCGACTGCTTTTGTGCCATAGGCTCCAGGGAAGATGAGCTTGGAGATTGTGAAACCTTTTTATTGCTCCTGCAGTGTGGAGTCATGTGAATACAGGTGTTGGCTGCGGCTTAGCCCCTTATTTTGCTGACCTTGGATAGCACACGGTGTAGGAGATCTTGAAGACTTTTTTTCAAGGGAGGTGCTGTGTGCAGGGGAAGCCCACAGCACAGCAGTGCAAGCAGGACAGCAGCTGCAGCCTGGACACAGCTGGGCTAGTGGAGGCTCTGGTGTGAAGAGACTCTCCATGTGCATTTCTGGAGGCAGACTGCTGTTTCACAGGGCAGATGAAGCTAATACTCCTGGAGTTTTACAGCTCCAGGAATTGAGTGTGGTGTGAAGTTGCTTCAGGGGGTGCTGAGGTCTTTGTTCCCACCTTCTGGGATCCGTCTCTTTGCCGGTGGCACTAATGCCCAGACAGCCCCCAGCCTGGTGGGACCACGTCCTGCATGTTGCTGGGGCCTCCAGCTGGCACCAGGGAGACACCTTAGCTGCTGGAAAATTTGCCGTCAGGCAGATGCACGACATGCTTTTGCATCCAGCATATTTCCTGGGGAGATGGAGATTACTCCATGGTCTTCACAGGATGGTGGCCTAGATCAGAGGCCACTGGTGTGTGGTGGGGAGTGCCTTCCCTTCCCCAGGAGGGATTGTGGGGCCCTCCTGCCCTTCCCCAGGAGGGACTGTAGCCAGCTGGTGCCACGGCACAGGTCCTGTGGTCAGCACATGCTGATTTATAGATCAGTCCTATCAGCAGGTTTTACCCTGTCACTACTGAAGCAGCGAAAGCTGCTATGTTCTCATTGCAGTGAGACATTGTGAGAGAGTGGATTTATTTTCTTTTTAATTTTTTTTTGTTGTTGTTTGGTTTGTTTTTTTTTTTTTTTAATTTTCCTGGGTTTTTGCCAGGGTAAAAGGGCCAGTGAGATCAGGAACCGATGGGTGTTTTTGTGCAGCTTCCAGTGAAGGGAGTGAGTGATGCCCACGGGCCTGTGTCCCTAACATGGGCAGGGTGCTTTTATATCTGTTCCTAACTGAGCCTGACTCCCTTAAGGATTTAAGTAGTTCCCGTGTAAACAGAAACGCATGATGTCCCATTGGACCCTTCTTGGTGGGAATGTAAATGAGGGCATCCTTGGGCAAGCTTTGTTAAAATTGGGCTGCAGTCCTCCTGTTTAGCATTGCTTCTGGTTAGGACTGAAGCTGTGTTGGCAGCAAAATGGTAAGCCAGGGCTGTTTGTGTAAACCTTTGTTGACAAAATAACTGGATGTACTAGTCCTTCTAAAATGCTTGCTGAGGGGTTTTTTTGGTCTTTTTTTGGTTGCCGTGGGTGTTGGGTTACAAAGTTTGCTTTCTTGGCCCAGAGCTGACTGTATTCTAAAACTCTCTGGGCGTAGCTCAGGCATCTTCAAAGTGTAGTAGCTTGTCCCTTGTGTGAAATGCACATCCTGCTGCCAGAATGCGGGCTGCTTTCACTGCACTCACTGTGTTGGTTTTTTTTGTTGGGATCTTTTTTTCTTCTTTGTTTTGTTTTTTAACCCCTGCCAAATAAATAATTTGTCCTAGAATTTTCTGGGGGGGAGGGTGAAGGATGGAAAAGTTTTTGATCACAATTCAGCAGCTCGATGCCAATGTGTCACTAGAGGAGCAAAGAAAAGGCTATCACTGGCCATCCTAAACGATGCTTATTTTTTTAGAAGTTGGCAGTGTCTGTCTTTTCTTTGGCACGTGGATGGTCTAAGCTCTCCTGCCTCCTGGTGGGGATCTCTGATGGGGCTTGTGGAGTTTCCAGTGTTAGTGACAGTACACTGTGGTACACTTAGCACTTAAGGTCTGCATAGAAATGTTAATCTTTTGCTTTGGCAATGATGTAGCCCCTGAGGAACTGAAGGGCAAGAATATTCAAATAGTGATTTCCAAAGACCCCAAGACAGTTATGGGGCTTATGAAAATATGATGACTTACCTATGTCACTTATGTCTTTATATCAATTTGCTTACTTAATTTATTTGAATGCTGAAGGCTTGAGGGAAATACTTTTCCAGGGAGTTAATCTTTAACTTAACTAAAGCAAGTGGTAAATTTGATGTAGACTAGTGTTCCTTTTGACAAAGCAGCATTTGTCTCCTAAAAATAAAGGTGAAAACATATGCCCCATGAGCCAAATTCTACTTGGCTTTATGCTGAAATAAATTCAGAATAACTTCACCACTATCAATACACAACTTCATTTTAACACTGCTTTTAATGCAAATCACTAAACTGGAAAAAAATATAACCTGAGCGAAGAGGCACAAATGAAGGCCAAAACAGCAACAAGAGAAGTTGGTTCACCAAACTTGCCTCTTCAATTTCTGGAACATTCATTTTAGTGTTTTGTTGGGGTTTTTATTCCCCACCTCTTAATTACCTGGGAGAACACTTCCTGGCTGTGATAAATTTCTCCGTGAGGGATTCATTATAAGGATTTTAACAATTAAGTTTTACCTCCTGCCTAACACCTGGTACATGCCTACTGCTGTTTGCAGAATAAAGGATTAGAGGCACTAATGCTGATTTGATGATAATACTTATTTTTGTTCTCTGTTAGAACTGATCAGGTTGCATTTTCTTGCATAGTATTTTTCTTCAGTTTTGGTGCTTTTTTTTTTTTTTTTTTTTTCCTGAATTAAAAATAATCTATGTAGCCCTAGGCTTTGGGGGTTTGTTTGGTTTTTGTTTCAGGCGCATGCAACTAATGTCTCTTTTCTGTTTCCACCTCCTTTAGGATGACAGTGATGGGATTCCCTGGTCAGAGGAGAGGGTGGTGCGGAAGGTCCTTTATTTATCACTGAAGGAGTTCAAGAATGCACAGAAGCGGCAGCACAGCGATGGCATTAGTGGGAGCCTCAAGGCAGTGAATGGTGAGACACCTCTGGGGTACTGCTGGAAGGACTCAGTCTTTTTTCCATGCTGTAGCAGGGAGGGAGACCAGTGTACCAGTCTGGCATACACTGTGCCCTTTTGATCTGAACAGAGGAACTTGTTTCTGGAGTGCTTGAGATGCCTGGGCTGAAGAATCTATATGTTTCGGTTTCTGGTTAACTGATTTAGGTGGGGATCAGGGCGGAGGGCAGGTGGGAGGACGGGGACAGGCTGCCAATCCAGGGAAAAGGAGCTCTTGTAGTCTGTCTGCTTCCTGATGTGCTTAGTACGTCAGCAGAGAAGGTAACCATTTAGAGGTGGTTGGCTGCAGTTACCTTGGGGAAGTACACCTGGATAGAATTTACATACTGTCATTTAGATGCAAGAAACTGGCTTACTAGCATCTGTGTCTGGAGTGATCCAAGTCCACAGGCAAAGTAGCATAGGATCTCCATACAGAGTTAAAGGGCTGAGAGGACACAAGCGCTGTGACATTGGACTCCCATAGTTTAGTAGTTCACAGGGCATTTGTTTAAAGGTATTAAAAGGAGATGCAGACAAGCTTGGATGACAGGAGCTTGAAAGGAATTGAATTTTATTTCTTTAATGCTCCAGTCAGTTATTATCTGTTGCTTCCCCGTTCCCTTAAAGCTTGCTTAAAAAAGCTGGTATCCTGAGAGGTGAATATAAACTGTGTCTCTTTCAGATTCACTTAGACCCTTACTTGAAAAGGCTTTGTCATGCTGGCTTGAGCCTTGAAAGTGATGACTAGCAGGATTCAGATTTCTAGGCAGGCTTACAGTTTTCACTCACAAGAGCTTATTTGTTTCTTTATGGAGGTTTATGGCAGTTCCCTTTAGTCATGTGCATAACTATACATGTGCTAATGCATTGGAGCAGCAGCTGGGTGCTTGCTTGGTAGGTTATTCATATTTATATGTAGCTTGTCTTGTTGACATGGTGAGTCAGATTCCACTGAGTGTTATTGCCGACAAGGCAAAAAACTAGGGGAATGGCTGGATATAACTACAGGCAGCATGATAAAGTCAGTGTATTGAGTAAGAAATTGCAAACTCCTTAATGTGATTAAAGAAGACCTTAGACTTCTGAGTTCAGTAATAATATCAAGTGCTGATCTGATGGGAAGGGGCATCTAGCTTTAAGAGCAAGGCATTTATAAGCTTGGAGGTGTACACAAAACAGCATTGGCTTTTTTCCCTGCAACACCTCTGCATCATTGATCTTCTGTCAAACACAATTTCTCTTTGAAAGTTTCTTATTCCATTGTGGGGGTTTTGTTTAGTCAAAGGAAAAAAGTCCAAAGGCATGAAGCACAGTAATTGTGTGTTAGGAGGCTTTGATGATGTGCCAGGTTACAGGATGACTGAGGTTTTCATGGTGTCTAGTTTCTCCAAAGACAGCTTAGATAAAAAGTGAGTTGGCTGGGAATGCTATGTCAATGCAGGTACCAGACATGGAGTATGCCATTGGCTTCACCTGGCAGCAGCAGAGCTCACATCTTCAGAGCTTTTTTCCTTCACAGAAATAGCTTACCAGTCATTTGAGGGTTGGGCTTTTTTGTTTGAGCCAGAATGATATTCCATGTTGCTCTTTCTGTTTGCTAAATTGTTTTTTAAAAGTCCTGTCTTGGCCCTGCTCTGTTTCAACATCTCTGTCCAAAAGCTTTTTTTTTTTTTGCCATTGATATTTGGAGGAATGTTTCATTATGCAGAGAAAAATAAGCAAAAGGGAGGAGGATTGATATTGTGCAGTGACATCAAGAAGATCAATTTGAATACTACATTAAAAAAAAAAAAAATTAGCCATGTATTTTCAAATCTATGGGTCTCTATGGACTGAGAAAAAAACAGGTCATCCTGAGAAATTACTGAGCTATTTTGAATTCAGGGAAATGTGTAGTATTTTAAGGATGAGTCTCAGATCCCAGATTTCATACTGTTGGGAAGGAAATAATGTTTTCTTGTATGTGTTGTTTGTACAACTTTCAGGCCACATCCTTTGTTTTTTGCATGTTGCTCCAAAGGGTAGCATGGGGTTAAATATAGTTTTATGTGAGTGACCTATTTTTTAATTCCTTTATTTATGTAACTGTTGAAAATCGAATAGGTCACCTTTCAGCACCTGGCAAATACAACAATTTTCAAAACTGGAAAGGAAGGGTGTAAGGGGGATTCAGGCTCTCTGAACTCCCAGCTCTGTGCAGGAGTATAGATTGGTATTGGATATTTCTAGTAGCTGAGGGAACTGCAAACAGCTGAGTAGCAGGATTTCATCTTAGTGCCACCATCTGTAATGCAGAGAGACTTTCTGTGGTCCAGTTTTATAACTGCCATTCCTTAAATTTATGTATTCCTAGACTTGCAATCTGTAAATTGTTTTAGTAAAAAGTATTTCTTTGTAGCAATAGAGGAAGGCAAAAAGGTACACCAGCTCCTTGTAACTTGTGTCTTTAAGAAGTTTTTATGCATTTGGAGCAGATGAAGTTTGATAAACATGCTACAAAAGTTCCTTTGCAGTTAGTGAAACTGCAGCTAAACTTGTATGAAAATGATTGTCAATTGTATTTCATCCGGTGATTTCAGTAGTATCATTAATGATTTGGTAGCTGGAATAATGGTGCCTCTTTGATAGTTTGAAAAGCAAATTAATTTTAAATGTGGAAGATGAATCCATTAACAGAAGTCTTTTCTTTATTATAGTTTCTGCAAGCTCTGATGTGCTGGTGGTGGCACAGAGAAAATTAACTTCTGTGCCTCTCTGAATAATAATAATAATAAAAATATATAAAATAAATAAAAATTGAAATTACTTTTGAATTTTTATGTATGATAATACCTTAGCTGTCTTCTCTGTCTCACTATTAGATCTACTTGTTATCCTGAAAATAACCCTGCCATTTTCAGTTTGTGTCTGAAATCCTATTATTTAAGTGCTTCCAATTAAAGAGAAAGGCAAGTGGGTATATTCTGATTGTCATATTAGTGGTTATATTGCATGTGTGTTTATGTTTACTCTGGATACTTGCAGAATGTAGAACAACAGCCTACAGTATGCCTTTGTTTCCTGCATGTTCCTGTTCAGTCCTTGGGAATATAAAATTTGAAGGAGGTGCTTGTGCTGGTTGTCAAGAAACTCTTTGCAGCCCTAAAAGGTATACTGGAACTCTGATTATGGAAACAAGGTCTTGCGCTGGAAAAACCCAGTGGGACCTCTTTAGTGATTTTGATTACTGCTGCCTGTCATTTGCATTAGGATTTTAAGAACAGGGATTGGTGTTTGGGATAGTGATACCAATTTTCAGAGATCCTTATCTAAAACGAGAACTAAGTCCTTTGGGAAATTGTCTTCTTCTTGTGCAGCTTAAAATGTGAGATAGGGCTATAAAAAAGGCAATGAAAGATGTAATAATGGCTTGCATTCTGTTGATGAGAGTAAATCCAGTACCCTCAAAAGGCTATATCACAAAGCAAACTTTTATGACCTACAATTTTAAGTTCTGTTTTTCAAAATTCGCAGTAAATAAATTTGTGCTGCAGAAGTGTGTTTCTTGAATGGAAAAAGTGACAAAGTTTTCTTATTTGTTTAAGATGGTTAGTTAATCTACAGAGATGACAAACCAGACGTTAGAATTATTCAAGCATATAGTTTGTTTTCACCAGCTATACTTTGTCCTAGAAAGGTGTCATGGCAGTTTCCAAACAGGTTGTCTAGCTTAATCTCACAGCAAGAATAATCTGTTTGGGAAATCAAATTTATGTGAGGGAATGCTTTGTTTCGAGGCATAAATTGAAGTCTCGTTCATTAGGTAAATAAAAAGGTGAGTAAAAAAAAAAAAAAAGAAGTAATTTTGCTATTCTGAGAGATTTCATTTTACATTTAAGGTGGTTAAAGGAACTTGGGTATTTTATGTATGTTCTTTAAATGGAGTGGGAGCTATGTCAGCATGTGGATGGAGGTGATGGTTGGACCGTAAAGTCTCTGGTGCCCCTTTCTCCCATCTCAGAATCATTTTGGTTGGAGAAGACTTCCAGCCTTTGTTTGATCACTACCTTGTTAACTAGACTGCAGCAGTAAGTACTACATCCAGTTGTGTCCTGAAAACCTGCAGGTGTGGGGACTGCACCACTTTGTACTGGTCTGCTTCTGCCCTCAGCCATCCCCACACAAAAGTTCACGTTTCTTTTGTTGGAGAGCTGTTTTTTCCACAATTGATACATCTCCACACTGAGTGGCAGGAGGCTCTGAGACAGTTCTTGGTGGGACTGTGATGCCAGACCCAGTGGCAGCACCAGCCTCTGATTCCTGGATCTGCACGTTCCTTGGCTTCTGCACTGGTTGTTTGTGCCAGCTGAGGCAGGCAGCAGTGCATTCTGAAAATAGCACCTTTTGTCATTGATGCATGTATTTTCAACTATTTTCTGCTCACTGCATGGGGATTTCTGTCCATGCTCCCCAGTGAGCCATGTTGAAAGGATGGTGCCCAGTAATAGGGTGGCATGGGACTGTCTTCATCTGACTTCAGCTTCTTGGTGAAACCTCTTTTCCCTTGCCGTGTAGATGGTACTCCAGGCATGGCAGGAAAATCGCAACAGATGTGGTAGAAATGCCTAAACATTGCTAAGCCGGGTGCTTCAGCTCAGTGCCATGTATTATCTGCCAAAAGCTAACTAAGAGGGGATGGCAGCAGCTGCCAGTTGGGAGCCACGTCTTCCCTTAGACCATGTCTCTTCTCTTCTGACTCCTGCAGATGAAAACATGGCAGCTCTTGGGGAAGTGCTGTTGTTTCAGCTGTGCCTCTGTGTGCCCAGAATGGTGTGGGTCTCCTTCCCTGGCTGGGTCGTTACTCAGCCTCCAATATTGAACAAGAAAGCAGCCCTCTTCGTTCACTGTGATGGTTCAGATACACTGATAACTTCATCTCTCTTATTTCTGAAGGCTGCAATTAAGTACTGCAAGAAGGTTTTATGCTAACGTTTGT